AGAGAGAGAGAGAGAGAGAGAGAGAGAGAGAGAGAGAGAGAGAGAGAGAAAGAGAGAGAAAATTTTTTAATTTTTATTTTTTTAGTTTTTGGTGGACACAACATCTTTTTATTTCATTTTTATGTGGTGCTGAGGATGGAACCCAGTGCCTCATGCATGCCAGGTGCGCAAATTACTGCTTGAGCCACATACCCAGCCCCTGAGGCTACTTAATTAGATTCTTCTACAATTCAGAGACATAATGAACACCTGAGAATTCCATATTGATGTTCAAGGTATTGGAATCATTTGTTCCTCAATTAGAAGCAGGGTTCAATATTTTCAAAATAACAATACAAATCCTCTTGTTTCTCCTCCCAGGGTTTTTGGCAATATGACCCCCAATGTMATGAAAAGTATGGGAAAATGAGGGGGTAAATATTTTGGAAAGTTCCCTTGGGTCGACTTGTTGGATGAGGCATTCCAGGGCAAGAGGACAATGCCAGCCCAGAGCTATTACTGGGAATTAATTATCATAAAGCTTTAAGAGGCTCCTCCTCCTGCCGAGGGTCCCATATTTCACCAGGTGTCAAGGTTCATGGCCAAGAATGTCATACTTTTGATTTTTCTCAGTTTCTGATGACCCAAACAGACTTGGACTCACCTTCTCTCCAGTGCCCAGCCTCTACCCCCTTTTCCATTTTTTTCTTTATTAGGAGCCTTTAATACTGCATAGGAGGCATTAAGTCAGACATTTCTAAAATATACATCATGCATGGCTTAATCTCCTTTCAAGATTGTCACTTTAGTAAAAGTGACCTTTATATAAATTTGGGGGTTATTATGTACATTTGAAAGAAAAGAGGAGACAGAGATGAACAGATTGGGAAATGATTTGACCTCTGCTTTCTTTTATTTTAACTTTCTCTGCAAGTGTAAAGTCTTGGGGATTTCATTTGTTTTTCCCTGTCAATTAGGAGTTTTCAATAGAAGTGTACACAGGGATTTCTCTGCCTACTTCATTCTATTGACTTTGAAGAATGGACTTCCAGTACATTTTAAACCACTGTGTTCTGATGACCTTGTGTACTTCATAATCTGCTATGGTGAAATCAGCTAATTTCAGCAGCCATTTTCTTAATAATGCTTGGTGAAAACAGCTCCAGAGGTATTATTGTAGTTCTTGTATGCTATAAACAAGTGAGAGAAGGCTTTGCCTCTTCCTCCCTCTTCATCTTCTCTCATTAAGTCCTCAAAACTGCAGAGCTGGCCACATTATCCTGCCTAACTGGTGTGGCCCATAAAGGCCATGTTGTTGAGTGGAAAGAGCACACAGGGCTGAGTCCCCACTGATACTGTCTCTTGCATCTTAAGCACTTGTAAGAACTCAATAATTTAATGTAATAGGCAACAATAATTTAATTGTTGTCTATTTTTCTCTAATCTAATATCCTTTCACATCAGAAGAAATAAGTGAGAGCATGAAGAGAGAACCTTCAGAAGTGGATAAAATCTTTGCCCCCTGCGCTTCATTTATGGTGTTAATATTCACAATATACAAAGAACTCAATGAGCTTAACACTGAAAAAATCAAATAACCCAATCAATAAATGGGCAAAAGAACTGAGCAGACCCTTCTCAAAAAAAGAAATACAAATGATCAATGAATATATGAAAAAAATGTTCAACATGTAAAGCAATTAGAGAAGTGCAAAATTATTTTCCATGATTTTATAATTATGTCAAAATAAAAGTTATTGTTATGGATAAATAAAAAGAACTAATGAAAAATTTCAAATGACATTTGTCTTCATATCTTAGAAGAGATATTATTTGATTCATTATAAATATCTCTTACTTTATAATCCCGGGAAAACCATAGCCTCAGGGACTCGATTCTCCTATAACTGTGGGTGGAGTTGTGTTTGTGCTTAGATGATCCCCATCATTAACCAATATGGAGACACATTGTTGAAGTACCTGAACCAGGAAGTGAAGAAAGGCGCGCCTGTCACTGTGAAAGAGTAAGTAGCAGGCAGCTCTGGGGTTCTGAGCTGTTTTAAGACCTTCCAGCAGCCTGCCAGGGAACTGAAATTACCACTGTTGAGCTATCCCCTGACCAGACAAAAGCAAGTGTGTGGTGTCACAACCACAATGGGCCACCCAAGGATGAGAGGCTCCCAGGAGAAGGCGGGGCAGCTGGGACATCTGTACAGAAAACAGAATTAGTTTATCTGCTTCATCATCAATGTGGATATTCTGTAAGTCAAAACACATGTTTTACAATGAAGAATGTGATCACTCAGAAGTTGAGGGTAGAGCCTAGGGAATGTTGGTTGGGGGGAAGTTTCTGATACCTATTGAGCAGGGATAGAATGATACAATGCAGGCTATGCAACAACAAATCTTTTCATGGTTGCACTGATATTATCAGCAAAATGCAAAATATGAAATATTCCCACCAGTTCTTCCTCCAATCTCAACAGAGATAAGGTCCCGAAAGGATATGGATTACACCTACCATATCATTTGTTGTATAAAATGGGTAATTTGACCCATGCACAACCTCTGATACTGTCTTGGGAAATCTGAGAGAATATGTTCACCAAGTTGTGAGCTCATCCAAGTATATTTTGAGGAGATTTTCAATGTTTTAAGTTAGGATATTCTTACTCATTCCCTTTTGCGAGATTCTGCCATTGGGGCCACCTTGGGTTCTGGAGTGCAGGACCTCTCAGGAGCTGTAGAGAAGGGGGGACAATGTTTCTGCCTCTCAGAACAGGGTGTTGCTTTTATGTGATGTGCTAGAGAGGAATCAGCTCTTGGCACAGACTGTGCTTAGGCAGGACCTAGGTCAAGGTCACCTATCTTGGATCCCCTACCAGGAGTCAATTATAACACCCTGGTCCTGTTGAAGCTCCATACTTAATCATCTTTTATCATCTACACTCCACTCACTGATGTAATTTATCTGATTATGGGTGTCTGTCTCTCTGTTACTGAACTCCTTGAGCTCACTGAGTGCACCCTAGTGTCCCTTACCCCCCTGGCACAGGGGCAGCTGCCTCATGGCATTTGATAGGAGCATGGACTAGTCATTTGATCAACAGATATTTCTGAAAGTGTGTGAATGTGCTCATATCACTTCTTCCAGCATGTGTAGAAGGAGAGCAAAGCAATGCAGATTAAAATTTTACATTTCTTTCTTACTCAGAATATTGGGGAGCTACAGCATGGATGTGATCATTAGCACATCCTTTGGAGTTAATGTCAATTCCCTCAACAATCCATTTGTGAAAAAAGCCAAGAGCATCCTTGGTTCAGATGTCCTCCATCCATTTTTTCTTATAATTAGTATGTAGACTACCATTTCTTTTTTCTTTTAAAATAACAACTTCATTAAGATATTTTTTTACATACTATATGATTCCTTAAAATTTAAAAATTCATATTTTTAGCATGTTAAATGATACATGTAGCCCTCACCATTGTCAAACATCAGAAAACTCATTATCTTTTAACTGTCAGCTTCCAAAATTATTTACCTGAAACAAACACTACTCTATTTTCTGTTTCTGTAGCTTTGCATATAATGTATACATTATAAAAAATGGAGACATGTAATATGTGGTCTTTTGTGATGCAAAATGTATCATTTAGCATTTTATTTCCAAGTGAAATATATATCAGTACTTCATGTTTATGGCCAAATAATATTCCATTGTATAGACGTAGCACAATTTAGTTATCCTTTTATCAGTTGATGGACATTTGTGTTATTTACACCTTTTGGCGATTGTGAATGATGCTGTTATGAACATTAGTGTGAAACTTGTTTGTGAACTCTAATTTTCAATTTCATCTGAGTGTATACTCAGGAGTGAAATTKCTGCCTTACAAAGTACTTCTGTCAGTGTTTTCCATAATAGCTGTACCATTTAATATTGTTACCAAAAATGTATGAGGGTTCCAATTACTTCACTTATTTTCTAACACTTCTTGTTTTCATCTCTTATTTTAGACATTGTAGTGGATGTGAGATGGCATCTTTTGTGGTTTTGATTTGCATTTTCCTGTTGTTTTCTGATAACAAGCAATGTTAATCACTTTTTTATTTGTTCTTTTTAGATATGAATGACGTATTTATAAAAACATAAAGTATACCTTATTCTAATTAGGATGCCAGGCTTGTGAAGGTATATGATGTGGAGATTCACTATGATGTATTCATCTATACATATGAAAGATAAGTCAGATTCACTATTTTAAAGAATGTCTATCCATATCTTTTGCCCACAATTACCTGAAGCATTTGTCTTTTTGTTTTGAGGCTTAAGAATTTTACTGGTTTGAGTCAGTACCATGTATCAGAGGAAAAAAATCTTGTGCTTCATTTGTGTACAATGTGTCAAAATGCATTCTACTGTCATGTATAACTAATTGGAACAAATTAAAAATAAAAGAAAAAAGAATTTTTAAATAATTTAATTGAAAAAATATTTCTTCATATATTCTTTACACAGTTTCTTACCAGATTATGATTTGTAACATGTTTGTCCTGTTCTATAGTTATCTTTTTACTTTCTTGATAGTGTCCTTTGAAGCACAAAGTTTTTAGTTTTTTTGCAGTTTATTCCTGTCATGAATGAGCAGAATTTTTAAATCTTTAAATGTATTAATCTCAAATCTGTAGTGATCTCAAAAGAGAGCAATTGACAGTAGATGCATGAAATTTGATGCCATTTATATAAATGTTAAAAACTCAACAGGTTTTGGAAACTTACATTCAAATGATGTATGGTTTATGTCATTTCCTTTTATTATTTGTGTTTTAAGTATCAAATCTTAGAATCGATTGAGACCATATGGACTTGGACACTTTTTATGGTCTACTACTAAAAATTGTAGTTTAGCTCTGATATTAAGGTTGCCCAACCATTTTAATTTAAGTTTTACATTCAGGGCCAGGTGAGGACAACATGCTATTCTTTTCATGTGGCTAGCTAGTTGTTCCAGCACCATTTTTTGAAGAGTGTCTGCCCCGTTCAATGGCCATGGCACATTTCTCAAAATTCCATGGGCCATAGACATGTGGGTTAATTTCTGGACTCTAAATCCTATTCCATTTATCTATATGTTTACCCATCTTCCAGGACCACATTTTATTTTTGCTTTGGAGTAGGTTTTGAAATCAAGAAATGTGAGCCCTACAACTTTAATCTCATTTTCAACATCATTTTAGCTATTCTGTGTCCCTTTGAATTCTATGTGAATTTTAAATCAACTTGCCAATTCCTCAAAGAAGCCAGCTAAGAATCTGTTTCAAATTAATTTGGATCTGCAAATCAATTTCAATACTATTGCCATTTGGACAATATTAAGTTTTCTGATCCAAAAACCTGAGATGTTTTTTTCTAGTCACATACATCCTCTTCTTGCTTTCTGGTGCGAGAAACTCTGGGTTCCTTGTCTATTTCCTCTGATCAGGCCTGGAACCACCCATTTATCCAGATGCCCTGGCTCCTTTAAGTGAGAGACACTATTAGAAACCAAAATCTGGAAGTGTAATGTGACCATTACTACTGTAGTTTCTTCTAGATCCTTTCTCTGAACAGAGATAGGAAAATAAAATATATTTGTACAGACTGAGCAATATAAATATTTCTATGTGAGTCCACATGCATGGTGTAAACAGTACTCCTCTCTCTGCTTCCACTACAACTTTCTGTGGTGAATGAAGTACTAAGTATATGTATTGTTCGTACAGTAAGCACTGGACACATGGCTACGGAGCTTTTGGCATGTAGGTAATGTTACTGAAGAAGTGTACTTTCTATTGTTATTTAGATTTAATTCATTACAATTTAAATTTAGATAGATACATATGGTTAGTGGCTACCAGATTGTACTGAACAGTTGTAACTTAAGTTTATAATCCAATTTCATTTTAGTATCATTGGGTTTATGCCAGTAGTGGGGAAAACACGGTTTGAGTTTTTGCACCATAGCATCATAGAAAGCTCTGTAAGCGAGAATTCCATGTAGATCTTTCTCACATTCATTTTGCATTATTTTTTGTTATGAATTACATGGTTGGAATGTATACCATGTTTCTTTCAGGTATTCGAGTATTAACAAATCCTATTCATTTCTCCAATCAATGAGAAGAATGCTTGAATGTGATTTTCAGGAGATAAGTCAAGAGAAACAACACTTTCTGTCACAAAGGCTGTTTGATGATTATGAAGTTGAGCAAATAGAAGGGACATGTACTAGGGAAGATGACATTCAGGCAAAGGTTGATAAGCAATGCTAATTCCACTCACTGAACCCAATCTTCCTGTGATAAGATACCAAGTGCATTTCTGCCTAATGCCCTGTATCAACACATTCTTTCTTGTGTGATTTTAATACCACTCATTAGACTCCAGTTAATCACTACTCTTCTGGGTTTTTTTTCTCTGTATAGTTCTGCACACCCTGAGATTATCCATTTTGAAGACTGGTGCCCCAGGTCTTCTATTACCTGATGATTCTTAGGCTAGTTTGTGAACAGAGTTGACCACATCTCATGAAAGTTCAGATTTCAATTTGGTAGCTCTAGAACAATGCTGGAGCTTCTGTGTTTCTAATAAGCTCCTTGAAACTGTTGATGCTGCTGGATCATGGACCACAGTTTGTGTAGAAAAATTTCTTTGTGGCTCAGTATACTTCTGTCAATCATGACCTTTATTTTCCCTGCAAAGATGCCAGTATTACAAATGTAGGTTCTTTAACCTACATTCTAGATAGACTATGTTTATTTTTTCCCCAGGGGAAGAGTGCTACCCACTATTTATAGCTAAATAACTTTCTTGATTATTCAAGGCACATTTGAAAAACATTGTGTATGTTTGACATCCATACTGTTCCTTGAAATCACCCAGTTGTGTTCATGGTGAGGGGGTGGCAGAATGAGGAACATTATGAATTGCTCTTCCAGTTTTTCCTCATGGGATTTTGGATCATCATTCTGATTTATGTTCATGTAAATGGTAAAGTGTGCATGGACCTCCTTAGACTAAATTGCCTTTCCTCTCCTTTTAGGTCTATCTGATCTGGATATTGCAGCCCAGTCTGTTATCTTTATTTTGGCTGGCTATGAAACCACTAGCACCACTCTTTCATTTATTATGTATGTACTGGCCACCCACCCTGATGTCCAGAAGAAGCTTCAGCAGGAGATTGATGAGACTTTGCCCAATAAGGTGAGTGAATGGCACCTGGAGGGGAGAGGAGAGGTAAAATCTCTGGGCATCTCAGTGTGCCATTGGGCAGTTCTAAAATCATGATGGTTATTAAATGCTTTGTAAATGCTATGGTATTTTACCAATATGAGTTATTTGAGGAGCTCTGAAAACATCAGTGTACTGTGTCAACAGAGTTTTAAGTCATTTCCAAATCTTAATTTACAAAAATTTCTTTCTTGCCAGGCACCTGTCACATACGATGTACTATTTGAGATGAAGTATCTGGACATGGTGGAGAATGAAACTCTCAGATTATATCCAATTGTTGAGAGAATTGTGAGAGTCTGTAAAAAAGATGTTGAACTCAATGGGGTGTTCATTCCCAAAGGCACAATTGTGCCTATACCAACATATGGTCTTCATCAAACTCCATGTACTGGCCAGAACCTGAAAAGTTCTACCCTGAAAGGTACAGGGCTCCTGAGAAAGGAAATCCACCCTTAAGAGGCTGTTTCACACATATTCTGAAGTATTTTAGTGCAGATGGCATACATGTGATTTTAAAATTTTCTTGTTTTAAGAAAATTTTAAGAAGTCTTTTACAATATGGTAATTATTTGAACTTTACAAAAGCATCAGAAAAAATAAATGACTATAGCCATTTAAGGCCCTAAAATATCAAGATAAGCCGTATCTATTATTAATGTGATAAATGTCAGTATGGACATTTTTATATAAATGTGTAGATTTAAGGACTGAAATGCTATCACCTTTCATTTGATGTTGAACTGTTTTTTATTTTATTTTAACAGTAATCTATAAACCTTTCTGCCACTTGACCACTCTCTTATTTTAGGTGCTTACCTTTTTAATCGTTTTAGGGTTT